CGTCTTAACTACAACAAGCAAAAGCTCTAGCACATTAATATTCAAGTTTAAATCAATAATAAATCCTTGAAACTCCTTGTGTCTTTAATTCCACGATCAACAACCAGTAAAACAAGCATTAGAAAAAATTTAAAAATCTGACTTCAATTCTTCAATAACCAAAGCATATACATGTACTTCATTATACAAGGGTACAAAAATTTACCGAGAAAAAATTCTTTTTAACCATTTTTAGGTATTTCTATCCACTCTAAATTGTTTACCAATTTAATGATCTTGACATAAACAATCTATCGGGTCTTCGAAACTGCTATATTCTATTTCCCTACAAGAAACTGGATATCTCTCATTTTAACTTATGTTTAGAGACCAGGTCTTTAATGAATACTTTATATCATCAAGTTTGTTTGGTGGTGTTTCTAAAGTTAGAGCTACTATACCACATATTATGCCTAGGAGCTCTGTAAGCGAGTTTGTGACTTGCTTCATCAGAACCACATGAATCAAGTAAATATTTCAATTCAATGAAAACTTTTTCAGACTTGCTTTGAATCTCTGCACCAGCAAAATTATCCAAATCTAGTTATTGCCAAGTGAGATTTCACTGAGTGACAAACTTCTTGCAAATCCGCATACCAAATATTGAATGAAACAATTGCCACTGGCGTAAAGGAAGTGACAATTAATCCAAACAAATATCAAATTTTCCTTTCGTAACTAGGAATAACTCTCATCCCTAAGCATTACAGCATTACAAGAAAATGAAGGTTGAAAGCAATAGCTCAAATGTATATATATCATTATTGTCTTAAACCTAAGCCAAAAATTTGAAAAATACGTATCAATCTTTGCCAACATTGCACTTCAAATGAAGCGATGGACTGTTCACAGTTAATGGTCCAGGAGATCAAATATCTTACCGATTGTATCTGACTTTTTATTTACAGCTCAATTAGTTGATATAATACAAGTCATTATTATGTGAAACATAACCAAATTATGGATTTCTCATTGCATATTCTTTCATTGACGTCTACGGCGCATTTACATTATTCATGTTACAAACAGAATTGATGCTCATTTTGGTGTAGTGTTTTGTCGACGCTAAGTTATGGGGTTAATGGTAACTTGTCACTTGCACATGTATATAATCAAAGCGTTTGAGGTCATACAAAGAAATGCAACTTTTATAAAAAGCAATTCATGTTTACGTTCCAAAAATATTCGGAAACTGGCCAAATGTAGTAAACATACAATGACTTCCAAATTAGAAATGTAATTTAAACAAATGTGATGAAGTCAAACGGACATTACAAATGCATATGGCTTTTTTGCATTTTGACGATATAGATACCCTAAAACACACAGAGAATGAAGAGAAAAGACAATAATAAGAGTACAAGAAAAAAAATAAAAGATGAATGAAACGTTACCCTGTCATTGATTACTAAAAAAAAACGTTTCTTTATGAAGGTAGAAATTTTCCATGCGTCTGTCCATTTATCCCCTTGAATATTATGGGTCGTTTAGGAATTTACTCATTTTGTTTGATCAGATTAGAAAATATGGAAGCAAGAAGTTTACCATTTTTCAGATTTTTTCGCCTGTAGGTAAATGTAAAAATGTTTTTGAAATAAAGGCATTGATAACTAGATGGCTCTTATATTCAAAGGGTTGGCAAATAATTTGGTACATATTACAGTTATTATTGAAATCGTACAGAACAAAATCATTATAATCTTCACCAAAAAACAATATGTGGAAATAGTTTGTAACCACTATAAAATAACATATGTAGGTAAATATAATTTTATTTTATAAAATTGCCTTTTTAAGCTAACTGTCAAAACTTTGCTTCCAAAAATAATACCCACGGACGCACAGACAATCATATAGTTTGTACATAAATAACGTTATCACTTTAGAAACGGTATTTGACACCCCAAATCATTATTACTCCCTTTTTTAAGTACAATGTATATCGGAATGATTCTTTTAAGGTATAAATAGCAGTTCATTGACGCTTTATACGTTCAATTTGCATTGTAAAGTCATTTTTAAAGTATAATATAAATAAGAAGATGTGGTATGAGTGTCAATGAGACAACTCTCAATCCAAGTCACAATGTATAAAAAGTTAAAAATCATAGGTCAAAGTACGGCCTTCAACACGGAGCCTTGGCTCACATCGAACAGCAAGCTATAAAGGGCCCCAAAAAGACTAGTGTAAAACAATTCAAACAGGAAAACCACCGGTCTAATCTATATAAAAAAACCAGAAACGAGAAACGCTTATGAGCCACACCAATAAACGACAATCACTGAATAACAGGCTTCTGATTTAGGACAGGTGCATAAAAATGCAGCGGGTTTAAACGTTTTAACAGGCACCAACCTTCATCCTAACCTGAGACAGTAGAGTAACATTACAACATTAAAAGATACACTATAAAATATCAATTGAAATTGCTTAACTAGATCAAAAAGACATTTTAACAAAAACAAGTAAACATACACTGAACGAATAAGTTAGACCTATGACAAAATATAAATACAATGTCTATATAATGGAATTTGATGCGACTGTCATACAAGTGAGAGGTTTAGCTAGCTATAAAACCAGGTTCAATCCACCATTTTCTACATAAGAAAATGCCTGTAACAAGTCAGGAATATGACAGTTGTTATCAATTCGTTTGATGTGTTTGAGCTTTTGATTTTGCCATTTGATTAGGGACTTTCCTTTTTGAATTTTCCTCGGAGTTCAGTATTTTGGTGATTTTACTTTTTAATAAAAAAAAAAGATGTAGGAACCGTGTCAAAAAGACAACTCTTACCTGGGACAAAATGGCGTGAAATAAAACAACGTACACAGGTAAATTTAAATACTGTGCATTCATTTATTTTCGTGGGTACCAATTTTCGTGGATTAAGGAAAACTTAAATGTTCGTGGATATTTAATTTCGTGGTTTTGCCGAAGTCTGCATACAAACCTATAGAAAATTTGTTATTCTTTGATCATTTAATTTCGTGGTTCACCTGCACCCACGAAATCCACGAAAATTGGTATCCAACGAATAATAATGAACCCACAGTATAATAATTTGTTGTTAGGAGTACGGAATGCATTTTTTACAAAATTAATAAATTTGTTGTTCACAGTACGAGTACAGAATTGAAAGTTTATCGTTATACAAATTCTTATCAAAGGTGGTACATATTAAAAATAGTGAGACGAGATTTAACACAAAATAAGTAAACATTGAATAACAGAAATGCATTACAAATTGTGTCAATAGGTCAAATTAACACGAAAGTACGATTTGAGAGTACTCGCAGTTACTGAAAGCTAGTTAAAAGCCAAAAACAATTAATAATAAAAAATCATGCATCAGAGACTAAAATCAATTAAAACACATCCCAGGGATTTAGTGTTTTAACGTCATGGACAGTTAAAGAAGATATGACTTGTGCAATGCCAAAATAAAAGTATCGACAGGCAGTAGGATCGTTAGGATTTAAACTTATAAAAATATGGATCATGTTATATATAGATAAAGCAATCTCTAAATAGAAAATAAACGTGGATCTTTATTTATACATCCCAAAAAACCATTCGAAAAGAATATAAATTTAGTTATTTTTTAATTTGTTAATGACAAAATCGATGTTAGTGCCAATGAAAACAATATTCAAAGATCTTATTACAACATCACTAAGATAACCTTTACTAATAAGTTTGTTTAAAGGTTCGATGAGTTTACACGGATCACATAGTGATTTCCACGCTTTTAGTACAATATTACCGTAGCATTCAGGATGTGAAATATCGTTGGTACAGCCAAATTTACTAATCAAATCTTTGTATCTATGAAAGAATTTAGTGAATGTTTTAAGTAATTTATGGTAAATAATGTATATTGTTAAGTCGCTTGTGTGTTTTTCTTTTCTAGTATGCTGTATCAAAACATTACATAACAAATATATCAATATTGTGGTTGAAGAGCTTTTGGTTTCATAAAGTAAAGTTTGAAAATAATTCAAACACGTTACAATACGGGAGGATATCATTTCCAACTTTTTTTTATTTCAGATACATATTTGGTATACTGTGAATTCAATGATCAAGGCAATACTTTACTGGTTTCAACATTCTTTTATTATAATTATGTTGCCTTATACTCTAGCTTTTATGGTGGTTCTAATAAACTTGAAATTACACTTGAAAAAGTATATAGTTTTCCTGAGGATATGATAAAGAATGTAATGAAGAAGGACAACCAACAGTGTTCACAAAATGTGAAACTAACATGCTATTACCACGACGCTATATCTTCTGATGACTCTGGAGAGTATACGGAATCTGTTGTCATGGTTGTTGAGGCATGCTATAAAAAGCAAGTAAATGAACTTAATTTAATTCTGACGGACAACGTACCATCATTCTCGTAGTCATAAGAGTTGTTTCATTTATACAAAATCCAAAGCTTTTGCACTGTTTACCACCATCTACTGCTTGTGCTTGTTCTTCGAACTGTAAGCCCTGATGAAAGTTTATGTAGAAATGGTTTCGACATTTGTCGAATCACTCTGATTGTGATAAATATCAGCTGTTTGTGGTAAACGGTATTGTGTCAGATTTATGTAGTAAAAAAGCGTTTATTTATTTTGTTTTTATCGAGTTTGTTTGAGCTCTTTGAAGTTTGGTATATATGTTGTTTCCGATTCTAATGATCACATTGTATGCTTTTCATAACACTGTTTAACACCCATAAAAAATTGAACATGGTAAATTCAACGTAATTTTACTATATATTTGAAAGTCAATAGAAATGCAGGTATTTGATAGTCAGACAAAAAGCTAATTCAATAGTGCACAATATAACACCTTACAATTCATACCGTATAGATGCAATATGAAACTGTTTCAAACAAAGTCTATTCCATTATCTTTATCACATTAGTTTCCTTGTTCTGTAGTTGCCATTGTATTGGAGGCATGGACTGGAGTCAAGTAGATGTCAATAGAGTGTTTACTGATAGTATAGTCATTTCAAATCCCGATAGACTTCCTTTTTATCGTTACGCTGTTATAGACAAATCTTACAGTGACGAGGGGTTTTATGATGTGACAGTTGGACCTGTTGTATGTAAATCAGGTAAAATTTTAAGTACAGACAGCATTAATATATGTTAAAATGTTTTAGCTGAAAAAAAATAAAGAAAAGTTATAAACCTGAATTATCGTTTCTGATGTTTGCGAAAAACAACACCATACTTTGGATATTCAATTAAAAATTTTATGTTAAAGTGTAGCACGAAATTTAATTGACAATATCCTTGCCATCTTCGCCTATTTAAAGTCATATGCATTCTTGTAATGTCTCTTTTTGTGTCTGTTAAATACGTCATTTGTACATCATTATTTATTGTGTGCTTCATCCTCTTAGATGAATGCGTTTAATTAGATTTTTCATTAAAAGTATAGAATACCTTTTACCTTATAATGTCATCTGTGTTTATTTTATTTTTTTTCCCTTCGTTTATCTTTTTTAATCGATTTATAAGATTTGAACATCGGTAAACTGCTCTTATTTTTATTTGTCAGAAATTTCGAAAAATGTTTCCCGTAGCCAGTCCCTTTGCTCTGATGGAAAGTTGTATAACTATACAGATCACTGCGTAATGCGTGTAAATGAAAGAAGTGATATAAAAGGTTGTAGAGATATGACTCATCTTCAGCACTGTGGTAAGAAAAACAAATTGTACTATAAAAACACTCCCCTCACATGTGGAGCAGAATCTGCTTACCCTTCGGGATCATCTGATATCACCCCGTGGGTGGAGTTCCTGTTGCTCAGTCATTAGTTTTATACATTGTGCACACTGTTATTTGACTTTTCGTCGTTTTTCGTTTTTTGTCATGGCGTTGTCTGGTTTTCTTCAACTAATTGTATGTATATCCCTTTGGTATCTTCCACCTCTCTTGTTCAAATGACTAAGAATAGTCCCCCAGTTAACACGTAAACTGTTCGGTACCTACGACTGGAGTCGAGTTAAAAGCCACCATCTTTTTATTGTGATATTGTACCGAGTTTGAACATATGTAAAGGTTCTTTAATCTAGGGTTTTTTTATAGGGTTTTCATCCGATTTTCAACCTAAAAAAAGAAGGAGCATAAAGGGATGGTTTTGACCAAAATAAATAAAGGTTGTGAGAAGTATTTCAAATTTGCACATAATGTTTTGAAATGCATAAAATCAAAAAGAGAATGTCAAGTATGAATGAAATGGTATAGAACAATAGGGGAAAATAAATTTGATTTGAAACTTTTGACTATTTGGTCTTGGTTTGATTTAACATGAGCGTTAGTACAGTAAGGTAATATATTTCAATGGAACTATGACAACAAGGACGTTGTAAGACATAAATACCATTTATATTGGCACTTATTTTGGATGTTGGAATTCAGGAAAAAGGATAACTCATGTGCAGCTTGTTTATTGTTTAGCTTGAAAAATGAAATGTAACGACTGACTAACAAACTGATGAGACAAAACTAGACACTGTGCATGAATGAATCGAAGCTGTTCGGTCAAGCATTTAGAAGCGTATTCAAAATTACGATGTATAATTAGCACATGGTTTTCTTATCCTTTCAAGAAGCCCAAGGTTGTGGTTGTTTTATCCTCTCTTCGAGACAAATTTGTTTATTGTTTCAGCAGACAAAGCTTCAAGCAATATTGTTTTAGATGCAAAAATTATTATTTGGAATGACTCATTAAAGAACTTGGAATTCAAAGCAAAACTGGGAATCTTACATATGCCCCTAAATCATTCACGAAAGTGGAGATGTTTTTAAAATCATAAATCCGCCCTTTTCTCCCTTGGTATTAACATAAAAAAGGACGATCTAAACCTCCAACCGTTTAACTTACTGCATACCTAAACGTCACCAAAATCATTCTACAGTACAAAATGGCTTTCAGTAATATTGTGATGAGGTATGCTTTGAAATCCAAAATTGAATAAAAAGAAAAGGCTTTACAGCAAAACTTTAAAGAAATATATGTCAACAGAAACAATTATATGTAGTTCTTCGCATTCTCTTTTTCGTGATAAAACAATAACCGAAAACCAAATATGAAAGACAAAACAATAAACGAAAAACAAAATAGACAGAAAAGCGCTTCGGACGTATGCAATTTGTAACGTGTTGTTTTCATTTTTTACTAAAACTTGGTACGATTTATTGTTCTATGTATCGAATGGACAACTGTCTATAATTGAATGATCTTGTGTTTAATTGCAGAAAACATTCCATTCTTGTTTCAAACTATAAATCTGCGAATCTTTCTTCAATCCCCCCAAAAATACACTTTTATAAAATACATTTTTTTGTAGAAAAAGAGATTTGCCAGCCAGGATTCTTCAAATGCAAAGAGGGTCACTGCATTTCATCGAGCTTACTTTGTGACGGCAGAAAACATTGCACCCATGGCGATGATGAATTATTTTGTGGTAACCATGGATTATAAGTCTTCTTGACATAATAAGTTGTTTTCATCCTAATTCACACGCTATTTCTTGAATAAGTATCATCAGACTATAGCTATATTGTCTTCATCGATGCTAACATTGTTTTTGTTTTTAATCAATTAAAACATAACTAAAACATTTAGCTGTTTAATTATCAACATTCCCGTTGATGTTAATATTTTGGCATTGGACAATGCCAGGTTTTTCTATGTCTGTTTGACACGCCTTTACAAAAAATCTTTTGGATGTGTAGTTATTGAAATTTCAGTTTAGAGAAACATGGTTTATTTATTAGTTGGAATTGGTTTCGAAATAGATTTTACAAACTGCGTGTTCACTAAAGCCGGTACCGTGTGTATTTTTTTTCTGTTGATTGAGTTTTTGTTTGCTAAGTGCCAATTTGATTAGTCACGTCTTTTGTAACTGATTCTCATAGTTTGTTCTTGAGTTGTGCCATTACATTAATGTCCCAGATTAGTTACACTAATATTTCAGGTAAGTTAAGGATTGAGCACTCACAAACATGTTTAACCCCACCACATCATGTTTGTGCTTGTCCTAAGTCATTCGCTGCTGTTTGCATTATTTTTTTTTTCGACGATTGTTTCCTCATGAAATAGTCCATTGGTTTTCTCTTTTAAATTGTTTCATATTTTGTCCCGCAGGAGCCTTTTGTAGCTTACTTTACGATATGGATTTTGATCATTGCTGAAGGCTGTACGGTACCCTTTAGTTTCATCCTCGTCCGTATGTCTCTGATGGATAGTTCTCTCATATGCAATCATTCAACATCTCTTTATTTTCATAGTTAACAAGATGCTCGAGACAAAAAGTTGACGCATTCAAAAACCTTCAAAAGCGTGAAATCTAGAAATGGCTTAACAGAACCTATAAAACCGTCTCTTTATTATACAGCTAAGAAATTTAGAAAGAAATATTCTTAGCTGTATAATAAAGAGAAATTTTAAAATATCAGTCCATAACATACTCGGTTCCAAATGTACTGCACCAGATACCCATTTCGACAATTAATGTCTCTTCCGTGATGCTCGAGGTCAAAATGTCTGAAAAGAAAAAAGCAAAGACAAAATTTGAAGAGTTGATAAAACAAAAAACAAAAACATAAGAATAACCGAAAACGACAAAAAATCAACATTTAGATTCAGGAATGATCTAAAAAGACTCCTTAAAAGGCCCGCAATTTAATTTAATTCGGTTACTCTGTTGTAACTGAAAAGCTTTTACCTTCATCAGAATCTGTTGCACTTTATTTGATCGCGCTACGAAATAAGGGATTAACTGCTTTACCTGCATTTTTTCGTTTTCACATCCATCGCTCATCAGCTTCCGGTAAACGAATACATAAAGCTAAGGAATTATAAGGGAGCTTATATCTATATTCACAAGCAAATGCAAGTATTCTCGAAACAAATGAACGTACTATTGACTCTAAATTGTGTTATCACTTTTCCATTTCAAAAGATACTTTACATTTTTATGGTAGGGTAATCATTACAGATAAAAATGCTTATAAAATAACATGTTCTTTCTCAAAATCTACAATAAATTTGTTTTAATAATAATATGAACAAAGGTATGATATCAATTTCAGTAGGGAAGCATCGATCGCTAAGAGGATATAAACAGAGCCAAAACCTTCAAATGTCAACTTTTCTGAAAGAGAATGGAAACTTAAGATTTAGACATTTAGTTTTACTAATTTATCAACTTTTCAATTTTCAATCACAACTTATCATTATCATCTTTTAATTTGTGATAGTTTATACAAATTTGATTTTTATATATGATTGCTTTCAGGAAATTTGACCTGTCCTGGATTATATAGATGTCAACAGTCAACCACTTGTTTGTTATTTGATGAGGTTTGTGACAACATTAGACAATGTCCTCATGGGGATGATGAAGTTGGATGTTATGTCACATGTCCTATTGGGTGTTCATGTGAAGGTTTAGTATTTATATGTCATCAAAAAGAAGTAGAAACAATTTTCAGGGATTTATCTATTGAAGCTAAAAAATTAGATTTAAGCAGCTCATTGTTTCCAAATAATGATTTGATTGTTCGTGCATATACGTATCTTGCTGAATTCAAACTGTTCAACTGCAGCATTGACAATATTATGCCATACTCATTTGAACAATTAATGAACCTCCTTCATTTAGATTTGAGCAATAACAAATTGAAGGTTCTGCAAAGTTACACGTTCTATGGTCTCACCAAACTAGTAACCTTAAACTTAAAAGACAATCTGATGCTGGGATTAATCAAACCAAATACGTTCATGTCATTACCTAATGTGAAAGATTTAGAACTGTCTGGAACTAGAATAATAAAACTTTTCAATGGGACTTTTAATGGTTTAGACAACCTTGAAACGTTTAACATAACAGGGAATGGACTAACAACTGTAGAGAAAAACGGATTTGATGGACTTGTATCTCTTTTGTCTATTGATTTGAGACAAAACGATGTGACAAAATTTTCTCCTGATATATTTTCTCGCCTTTCTCATTTAACACAAATGAAAACTGATTCCTATATATTTTGTTGTTTAAAACCAGAATCTGTTTCCACAGAGAATTGTTCCCCCAAAATGGACGAATTTTCCTCGTGTAGGGATTTGATGAGAAATGATGTATTGCGAGGGTGCCTATGGATTATTGCTATAAATGCCTTAATTGGAAATGTTGGAGTTATACTTTATCGTATAATCTACGAAAAAACGCTGCTATTTAAGGCAAATTGGTTATTTATTATGAATCTTGGTGTTGCAGACATGTTGATGGGTGTGTACCTAGGGATCATTGCTTTTGTTGATATGTACTACTCTGGAAACTACATTTTACATGACAGAGAATGGCGAGATAGTACTGTATGTAAATTTGCAGGTATCCTTGCGGCCATTTCATGTGAGGCATCTGTTTGTTTCGTCATGTTAACGACTTTTGATTGCTATCTAATGGTACAGTTTCCATTTGGCAGATGGAGGATAACATACAAAACAGCAAAGGTTTCGACTTTGGTTTGCTGGTTATTTGTAATAATTATAGCTGTGGTCCCGATTTTTGAAACGGCATATTTTAATATGTTTTATTCCAGAACAGCAGTTTGTTTGGCTTTACCATTTTCCCGACAGAAAGTCAGCGGATGGGAATATTCAACAGCTATTTTCGTGTTTTTCAATTGTACTGCGTTTATTGTAATAGCTTGGTGCCAATTGTCAATTTACCAAATAGCTAAAAGTAGTAATAGAATAATGACGAAGAGGACAAAACAAGACCTAACACTGGCTAGACGATTATTCTTAATTGTTTTAACGGACTTTCTATGTTGGTTTCCCGTTGGAATAATGGGTAAGTCATCCATAAATCAAGGTACGAAAATTGATATGTAAAACACAAAATAGCGGTATTAACACCTAAAGATGGGTACAGAACACCTGAGGGACTTACATCTTTAAAATAAAGCTGAACGTTTTAATTACATACCATTAGTAAAATGAAATCAAGCTTCTCAATGATCAAAATTAATGTATGTCAAACTGCTATATATCCAATGAAATTATTCCTGTAAATGGTGTTCGTCAAATGTTTTGACAATATATCAGGTCAAAGTAAATATTTTTTGAACATTTTATGAAAATTTAACGAGCCAAATCTATTTTGTGAAAATTGTTGGGTACCCCCTTAATGTACCTGCACAGCTCAGTAGTCAGTGATTGGGTACTGACATGATATAAAGCATACTTTTCTTGAATTGTCTGTTTATCGATTTTGAAATTAAGAAACTATGAGGTTCCAACTCCCTCATGCAAAGTTGACCACAGCTGGATTTTGCTATTTTTTAGGTCCCTTTTGGTCATACAGCTGTTTAAGTGTTTCGGCAATTAACCATCCTTGGTTTTCAAATAATTGGTTTCGAGTGTTCCTGATGAAGGTACATCCAGATAAGCACTTCGAACGCATAAAACTTATTAGGTGTTATTTTCACTGTTTATGTAGTAAGGAGTATCAAAATTGTTTACGCCATCTTGGATTGCAAAGAATCAGTAGAGAAATTTACTAAAATTGGCTTATTTGTCCCTCATGCAAAGCTCTAATTCCGTGCTCGGCTTATGCTCAACTTTTTATAGCTTTCTGGATTTTCAAATATTTTTGACTCGAGTATCACTGAAGAAACTTTTATTGTCGAAATGAGCATCAGGTGCAGATAATTGGTACCAATAATATTATTATATAGATGTAATGCATTTGCATTAATTTCAGTTTAAATGAAGACATACTAGTAGTATATGAACGTATGGTAATATCTTCATAATACCGAAATTGATCTATTTTTCTATTCATTTGTTAGGTATACTAGCAATGGCTGGTCAAGTATTTCCGTCAGAAGTTTATTCTTGGGTAGCTGTATTTGTGATGCCACTAAATGCAGCATTGAACCCTTTTCTTTATACGTTTTCAACAATAAAGCAGGTACTTATGCTAAACAATAATACACATTTGCTCAAAGTAAAACTTTATTACCGTGATTGATTGGGTATATTTTGAAAAACAATTATATTAACATTATCAAGTCAGACCTCACACAAAACATACAGTTAAAACTGAAAGAATGCTTTATTTATGTTTATATAATTTTGTGAAAATTTATTTTTCATAATCTATATATCCGGGGTATTTGAATTTCCCACGGACTGACCTTGATTGTCGGTTGCATGATATCATGTCCCGTTTGATATTTGTTTCTTTATTCTTGTCTCATATTTTTTGAAACACAACTTGACTTTATTATAGTAAACCTCTTATCATATTATTATATGTTTTAATTGATACATTTTTAAAAGCACTGTTATACAAGGAACATACTCCCTCATGTCATCTTATATGGAATACCTTCATTTAATTACTGGAAAAATGTGTAACAAGTGTATTGAGTTCGAATTCATTAAATGTATTGAAGAATTAAGAGTATCGACAGTCAGAAAGTGTACCTCTGAAATCTGAAATGTTTTCACACGTGACAACTCATCACTGTCCACCTGTTGACTATTGTCTCTTCATTCTGTTCAGTAGTACGAGAGAAGAAGGGACGATTTTTTCATGACGAGAAAAAAATTGTTGACGGATGAATGGACGTAATGTATGTGAAATAAATTAGCGCAATTAAACTTGATACTTATTTAACTAAAGCATAAAGGAGAAAAACGGCATGACCAGTAACCAATTACATCGGCTTATATATGTCTGATTAAAACTGGAAATCCATTATGTACAAGCCGCTTCTTACACTAAGGGGTTACAGTTATCGGACAACAGATCTTAAATCATTAATTGTATATAGATTATTGTTACATACCTGCTAAATGCATATCAAGGAATATTTAATCTAAAACCGTTTTTTTTTTTAATTATTCATATTTGATTGCTCATTTGTAGAAACCCAATATTCTTGGTAAGATGTCTAGCAAAATATTTCAGATGTCTAAAGTTAAAGACCGACGTAAAGGTAAGAACAGAAATGTTACCAAAGATACAAGCATTTATCATTAAGGATTCAGACACGCGTTTCGTCTAAACAATAATCACCGGTGGCACTCGAATCCAAACAATTGGCAGCCAAAATCAATAACGAAGTTGAAGAAAGTTTTAAACCAGGCAGTAGTCATTTTGATTCTCAGGTCTTTATGATTATCAATGATATTTCATGTCAGCACTGATAAACTCATCATAGATACCAGGATGAAAATGTGTACTCCAGAAGCGTGTTTCGTCTATAAAATACTCATAGGTGACGCTGTAGATAACTTCGGAGGAGAAACGTCATTATCAAAAACGAAAATTAACTGATAAAGCTTTTGGTATTTAGGTATTGTTACTTGACTGGGCATTTCATTTTTCTGGAATATTTCAAGCATGCTCCAACATTTATGTGGTATGTTCTAAAAGTTTGAAAAAATAAAAAAGGAGGTTTTACCGTCTTTTTCTTGTGAATGCTTATTGATTGTGTCCTTCAAACCAAAATGTTGCGAATTGTTTATGCCTACTAAAAATGATATACTATTTCAGATGCATCTGATGAAATTTGCATGGCTTCTGTATTTATCAACAATGCACAGATTCTTCAGACGAGGCACATAACGCTGAGAGAACTGTTTGCTACGAGGAAACTTACCATTGAGGAGAGTATTCGTCTGGTCTCACAACTTACCGCTGCATTGGCATACTTGCATCATCGTTATTTAACACTTTGTCAACCAGTTTCTTTGGATAATTTAGTTGTCTTTATGGATAGAAAGGTAATTTTGAATGTCATCAGTGAGGATTGTTTGTGTCTTCTATATATTTTTATCATACAGTCTTTGGTGTCAACTCTATACTCTATCAACACCAAAATCCGAAATGGACAAACACACTCAAATCCTAAATAATGACAACCACTGACGCAGTTCCTCATTTCGGACGGATACATATTGACAAATATCGGTATCACAGCTAACAAAAATACAGCAATCAAAAGTTCAATTCTTAATAATTTAATAATAATAATAACAAGTTTGTCCGCAAGTGAGGGCTGTTTAATTAGTAAGTAGATAAGGTTTACTATAAATAGAACAATCAGATAATCTGAACCTATGACATTGAAAGTAATGAATATACATGTAGATGAAGGTCTACTATACCTACAATTATCCAACTAACAGGAAATATTCAGATATATGACATATGACAATTAACTCCTAATTTAGGACATGGATATAGATAAGATGGCAAACAAATCTGAAATCCCAAGACTATATCACTTCAATATGTAGAGTTATTGTCATGGCAAAGGATCAATACTTCAGTAGTACATTTGTATTTCAATTCGCCGTTTCAGAATCTAATGCATTTTTGGGTAACATTTCCAAAAGCGTACACCAAAACATTGTGATTGGTTAAAATCCCTCCAGACAATGGAAATTAATCCAATGAAGTGACGTTATTTTTGATTTTGTAATGTAATTACAATGAAATTACACATAGTCCTTTAGATTCTGAAAGGGCAAGTTGAAATTGGTTTCATTATTTCAATTTATTTGTAAACATCAAATCAGATGATGAAGATATCAAATCATATTTTTGATGGATTTGATATAATTTTTTTTTTAAATTGTTTCAAATGATAGTTTTAAAGATGCGAGGCCTTATCCATGAACTGGGCGTATATTAGAGGACGGGGAAAACTTTAATTAGAGGCGCATAATATAAACTGCCTTGTTTTACTTTATTAATTTTTTTAATACATTTAGGCCATGCATGTAACAGTAATTAATTATCAGTCTGCCTGATAGTATGTTGTGAATTAAATATATTTAAAAAAGAGGATTTTGAATCTGTGATCCTTAATTCTATATTGTAAATTTCATACAAAATAAGGAGAAAGGGTTATAAAAAGGACTGCACATGCTTTGAGGGCAGGGGTAATTGAACATCATAGGCAGATTTAGTTCGTTTCTGTGTGTGTTACATTTTAATGTTGTGTTTCTGTTGTGTCGTAGTTCTCCTCTTATATTTGATGTGTTTCCCTCAGTTTTAGTTTGTAACCCGGATTTGTTTTTTTCTCAATCGATTTATGAATTTCGAACAGCGGTATACTACTGTTGCCTTTATTTAGGGGGACCAGGGTACCCTGGTCCCCCCTAATGAACCTACATTTATGGTTAATTTAGATTTTCTACCTGTTCCACTCCAAACGTTGCCTAGTGTGGTAGCCCTAAGGTCCCCCCTTCCCATTTTTCAAAATCCTTGATCCGATCTGAACATGGGCATTAAGGGTGGGAAGCGGAAGTCAAGAACTTGGAGAACAGGGAGAGTTAAAAAAAAAAGGGAGGGATGCACTGAAAAAAATTTGACCGGTTTTTGTCTAATAGTAAGGGGGAAGGGAAAAGGAGTAAAGGAATGAGCAAAAACAAATAAGAACTTTATTTAACCAGATTTCGGTGAAAAATAAGTTATAAACAAACATAAGAATGGCATACATAATATATATTGGCTTGCAAATTTCGGATAAAACCTAATCAGAGTACTTACTTTCTGAGTGGCGACGGTTCAGTATCTATCAGGTTGCGTAAAATAATTATAACGCATGCTTGCAAGGGAGGTACATGTATGTAACTTTTGAAATACTGATATGACCTCAACTCGATCGATAATCAATACTGGGGTCTAGATAAAGACTCACTTCAGAATTGGAAAGAAAAATGTGCTTTCCAATACGTTAGTGTTAAAGTTGTTCAGATTCACCTGTGGACCGATGACCTAGTTCTATCTGTGTGTCTCTCTTCCCAACATACATTAGTTCCAGAAAATCATGTCTAATCATCGGGCGTTTAATTTTACAATAATGTCGTTAAATATGAGGATATCCAGCTGTTAATTAGTAAATGGAAACTATACAAAAAATAGGCGTTTTTAGACAAAAAAAAAACAATCAAAAATGTAACATTTTTAGCAAAGGATGGATTGGATCGGGGTTCTGTGTATTCACATTATCTGTATATCTCTCCTTACTCTTGATGAATTGAGGGGTATTTTACCACCCAAATGGATCACCGCAAACAATATTTTATTTCGTTTGATGTGTTTTATCATTTGATTTTGCCATCTGATTAGGGACTTTCCGTTTTGAATTTTCCTCGGAGTTCAGTATTTTTGTGATTTTACTTTTTATTATGTAGTAAAGTAATAATATATAGTCTATAATATAGTATCAAATATTAATATAATAATTATACCGACAAACAAACTCAAGTATCATGTTGAAATCGTGCCTTTAGATTTCGTACATCAACTTCACAAAATTTAATACGGCAATAATTATAATAACCTGTATCAATAATGTTCGGAAGACAAAATAAAATGGATAGTTCTTAAATTTCAGGAATATTATTATAATGAAAGGTTGATTTGAAAAACCGTTTTTTTATTTGAATTCCTGTGTGTGGAATTTTACTTCGACACAAATATTCTATATTTGAGATAACCCTTAAAGCTATAAGAACATACCTATGTTCTCCTTGGTGGCGGAAATGTTTCATACTAATGAAAGTATTAGAATGTATCACAGTTGAGAAAATTAAATAAAAATAAGCAAGGTAATTTGTCCGTTTCTTATAAATTTTGGTGTGAGAACGAAGTTGAATGAACAATTTGTTAAAATGAAATCTGAATGAAATGAAATAAATTTATAATCTTCATTTGTTGAACTATTCTTTGGTGTAAAGTTGTAGAACAAATTGGATGGAGAGTTGTCTCATTGGCACTCATACCATATCTTCTTATATCTATATAAAGGTAATGTATCATGTCTGCGTTTTGTCTGCTTGACCTCTTTTTACAGAATTATCTTTAAAAGATATTCTTTTGTACCAAATATAACAAAAATACAAAACTCCAAGGTAAATTCAAAACGTTGAAGTCCATACAAACTGACAAAGTCAAACGTTATCAACCAACGGAACTAGTGAAAAACAACTGTCATATTGCTGACTTATTGCAGGCATTTTCCGACGAAAATGGTGAGATAAACGTGGTTTTATAGCTAGATAAACCCCCCACTTGTATGACAGTTGTGTTTAGTTCCGTTATATTGACAAAATTTGGTGAGCTACCTAAACATACATAAAAGGTTAATGATACAATAATTGGGATTCAGCAGCCATAACTGTGTAAACATACATCACAGACATACAATACAACTGACTAAAAAGTTCAAACAAACATACAAATAAATCTAACATAGAATTTCAATGTTTCCCTATGGTTCTACTAGGCTTACAATGAAATATTTCTTACATCTTATACAATTCAGATGATATGAATAATGTAATTTTCTAACATAGATATTTATAATTCAGAAAATCGAACGAATAAAGGTGATTTCTCAGATTAAAGATATTAGAAATGAACTGGATACTGCTCAGGATGTAGACAACATCGGACAGATAACTAAACTGGTACTTAGGAATACCAGAAAACTGCAAGAAGAGGGACATAAGTATTAGCAATATCTAACAGATTTTAAAATATATACTATAAGCTAATGTTCATATTTTTGTGTATGTAACAACCTTAAAATTTCTGTACCGTATACAACCAAATAAACTCATCATAGATCCCAGGGTTAAAAATGTGCACGCCAGACGCACGTTTCGTCTAAAAACATCAGTCTCGAAGTCATTTTCTCCTGTAATTACCTACGTCTGGCAAATAACTCAATGTTGATCATTCATGCCTTTCAATTTGGTAAAAATATAAATACGATGTTATCTACAAGAGTTTTCCAAAATTAAAAGTATTGCCTGGTCACACTATGAAGTTCAATAGATCTTTATGTCTCTTTGTACTTTTATTATCATTATTGGCTAATGTAAGCCCCTATCAATCTTTACTCAAAATACCAATAGACATGGTGATTAGCAGAATTGCGTATCATTTTGTAGGACATACACTGTAAAAGAGGGACGAAAGATACCAGAGGGACAGTCAAACTCAAAGATCGAAAACAAAATGACAACGCCATGGCCAAAAAAAAAAGACAAACAGACAAATAATAGTACAGATGACACAACATAGAAAACTAAAGACTAAGCAACACGAACCCCACTAAAAACTGGGGGTAATCTCTGCAAAAGACGCAATGTATATTGTCCGTAAATTTTGAACCATATTACGATAGTTTGTACATCCCGCCATTGTGTTATTGTGCTATATAAAAAAGAAGATGTGGTATGATTGCCAATGAAACAACTCTCCACAAGAGACCAAATGACACAGAAATTAAGAACTATAGGTCACCGTACGGCCTTCAACAATGAGCTATGGTCATATTTTGTATTCTTGTCTTTTATTTTTGCTTATGTGCTATGTCTGTAGAGTGTCTACATGCCATGTTCTTATTAAATGTAAAGCACTAGCAGAAATATATAATCTTTTTTTGTAATTTAAGTGATATAGTTCCATCTTTTTTATTTGTCTGAACAAGAAATATTTAGTTTCATTTGGAAAAATAATGATGCTGACATATTTACTGTATGTGTAGCTGGGATAAACGATATACATGATACGAATCTTCACTTAAATCAAACATAAAGTTGTTA